AAAAGTTTATTGAAAAAAAAAATGTGGAGAAGGAGGTGGGGGGGGGGGGTAAAAAAGAAGCCTTAGATACTTTATACGACCCCCAAAGTCCTTTGTTTGCGCCACAGGATTCCAATTTGAAAGAAGTCTTATGTACAATATATATACAAACATTAATTTTAATAAAATTAAATTCCATATTGACATATTAGTGCTTGGGCGAGAGTTAATATTATGAACTATAATGGCGAAAACCAGAGTACGATTCCCGGTTATGCCATATTGCATTATCTTGTTAACAATATTTTATAACAATATACTATAACAATATAATAATAACAATATACTATATTGTTATTTAGGTGCCCCAAGAAGACTAACGGTCATGTTAGAGAGCACCGCGGAATTGCATTTAACCTGGAAGTTCACGCCTCTTTCCTTACCGTGACGCAAAATATGTCCAAGGCTCGTTTCAAACCTGATCTCCTGCTTTTAAAGCAAGCGCTCTAACCACTGCTCCACGGCCGTTTTAATGACGGATCAAATAAAAATAAACTATACTTAGGGTGGAAGTTTTTTTCAGACACCTTTTTTAGAAAGTCCTTAAAAATGTATCTTAAGCAAGATCAATAATATTGAAAACAAAGCCTAAAAGTGCCGAGGGTAGGCTACCCATACCCTTTAATTGGAGTAGGTGGGTGGAGGGGAGAAGCAGCAAATTTTGTGCTCTATTGCTGATTTAAGGAGTTTTTTATTTTAGCAAACCATAGCGGTAAAATTTAAAAGATTTTGAGACTCTAATGATATGTTTTTTTTTTAATTGATGTTGGAGGAGGGGGGAGGAGGGAAGGGCATTCATCCTATTAGTTACGGCACTGCTAATATCTGTTTTTTGTTGACTAAAAAAATAGGTTGTCTGAAATACGCTTTACTTAGGGCCAGTATATAAGGGGTGGCATGTGTGCATGGGCACCCGCATTTTAAATTTTGTAGAAAAACGTTGTAAATTACAAAAGTTGTGGCCATGCAAAACTTACACCCCCTTCATTTCGGGGATCGGAAAATTGGTCATAACTTTGGTAATTTACAATCTTTTTTCTACGAAATTAAAAATCTGTCGATAAGTTTAAATTTAGTTTTAAATAGTGAAATTGAAGATTTTACAATATTAGTGCTCTCACGTTTGGGCAAAGGGGGCAATCGTTTTGGGGCTTTTTCGTTCTAAAGTTTCCGCCGTCCCAATTTTTTGCAAAACCTCCTCATTTGGCATTGGTTTAAACCAATGATATATATTGATGATAAATATGTAAATATCATTGGTATAAACATACTTAAGTTTGGAGTTTGCACAATCTGTGAAAATGTTCTATCTGGAACATCAAAAAATCCTGCGGACGCTCATGCATGCGTGATCACACATGCTCACGTGAGCATAGAGGGAAACTATACCTTCTACTCCCTATACCATACAGCTTTTTATGTTTTCAAACTAGAATCTTTAGTCAGAATTTATATATATATATATATATATATATATATATATATATATATATATATATATATATATATATATATATATATATATATATTATATATATATATATATATATATATATATATATATATATATATATATATATATATATATATATATATATATATATATATATATATATATATATATATATATATATATATATACATATACATATTTCGGAGAATCTCGGGGCAATTATTTTTTTTTGGAGTTATTTAATGATATATTAAACATTCGTTAAACTAATAGTACTATTTGTCAGTGGCGTTACTGAGGTTGGTGTCACCCAGTGCGTTGAACTCAGGGTGTCACCTCTCTAGACTTTCACTATGGATCTTTTCAGAGTTTTCCTGTACAAGACCATATGCATAATCCAATTCTGATAATTGTTTAATCGCTTAAAGGCACCATGTACCTTCTCGTGTATATAAAATGAACGATTATGAAACCCGACAGTTCCGACTAGACCGGGCTGAGCTCGGCGAACTCTACTGTCTGAGACAGAGCTAGGGGTGACACCAAAATGAAAATTTTCCATTTGTGACTACTGACTAGCAACAACTTTTTTCCACTCACAAAAATTGATTTTTTTTTTCATTTTAGTGTCACCCCTATGTATCATGCTGTGATGGTGTCACCCGGTGCGGCCTGCACCCCCTAGCCACTGCTATTTGTTAAGCAAATAGCAGTATTCTATTTTTCGTTAAGCAATTAGTAGTATTCTATTTTTCGTTAAGCAAATAGTAGTATTCTATGTTTCGTTAAGCAAATAGTAGTATTCTATTTTTCGTTACGCAAATAGTAATATTCAATTAGTTACTACTATTCGTTTAACGAATTAGTTAAACAAATAGTACTATTTGCTAAACGAGTATTACTAATCGTTTAAACTTTTTTAATTATGTGTCTAGATATCTTAACTTGTCAACGACAACTAATTCAGAACCAGCTTAGAAAATTATAATTTTCTGAAACCATTTATCAAACAATTTGTCCTCTATAAAAAAAAGTTGCTTGACCCAATTTTACATTTCTGCTTTGAATATGTATTTTTATACTATGTATAATCAAGACCGGCGCAATAGGGGTGTGTGGGGGTGTCACCCCCCCCCCCCCCATCAATGATTTTTAGTCGGCAAACTGGACCGTTTTAGACTAGTTAGTCGGCAAATGCCGACCCTTTCGATATAGGTTAGACAGTCGGTAAATGTCGTCATGAAAGTCAGCAAATTTTGGAAAACGAGGACCTTGTTTTTTTTTTGTTTTTTTTTTTTGTTTTTTTATTTTTTAGTCGGCAAAAGTTGTAATGGCACCTCCCCCCACGTGACACCTACTCGCGCCGGCCCTGTGTATAATAATACTATAATAATATAATAATATATAGACTTTGTGTTTATTTAATGAGTTTTCAAGACATACATACAATCGTAAAATTCTATTTGCAGTTACAAGTTATTTTTAGGTTCACGAATTGATAAATCTTCAGAACAACTACCTGATTTAATAGCAGAACTTGTATCAATCAAGAACTGCTGATCTTTACTTAAAATCTTGCAAGCAGTTTCTGGAATTTTACAATCGACACTGACAAACTTTATCACTGATAACTTTTTACAATTATCTGCATGCCGATTGGACAACTTAATAATTTTGGACCTATTGTTTCTCCGTCTAACCTTTGAAAACAAATGATGAAATAGCAATTAGTTGAAGTGTAACAGACAAACTCCCTAGCACAGTGGTCTTTTAATATAATTTTTGATTGTATAAATAACACCAATTTTTCATCTCGCGTTAGCAACAGTACCATTGCATCCAATTAAGTCCAGTTTTTGAAATTAAAATCCAGCTTCATTTAAATATAAAATAATGCTACTGGTAATGTTGTCAACGGACCTAATTTAGAGTAAAACATAACCAACGTACACGGAACCTCGCTCTTATAAAATTGAGTATTGTTCCTTTTTTCATGAATATTCGAAACCGTTTTGATTTAAGTTTTCCAACCTCTAAAGTTTTGTCCTTCCTGAGGTTGCATAGCATGTGGAAAAAGTAAAGCATAGCATGTAAGCTGCATATTAACAAGTACTGTAATTTTCTGCTTTTTTGTCTGAAGCAACTGCGCCACGGCTGCTATTTTAGTTATTTAGTTATAAGACCGTAATGTTTTAACGGTCTTAACGAAGAGTACCACGGAATAACATGTATCCACGAAGTACATGCCACCTTCCTTACCAATGGTAGATGTATGGCCAGAGCACCAAGGCTGCTCTATTATATTTATAAACTCTATTACTATTTAAAAATCTGCAAAACGCGTTTAGTAAAAAATTACATAATAAAAATTTTAAGTTATTTCTATTTCCACATTCTATATACTGAAATCTTACATGTATTTATAGATTAGACCAATTAAAAAAATTTTTGGTCCTTAAAATGGACAAAGAAAACAATAATTTCCGTTGATGCGCAACTAAGAGTAATTTAGTTTTTTTTGTGTTCTCAAAAGCATTTGATTCATATTTAGCGCGATTTGCAAATGGCCTGTTCATTAAGTATTGATTCAAAAATGTCTTTAATTTTTGCAAAATAAATAATTAACTGTTTTCTGTGGCATAACTATAAGGCATAACAGGTAATCTGTATTTTTAAAAATAAGACATAACATGTAGTCTATATTTTTATAAATGTAGTTTAATACATTAATCTTCCTATAAATTGAATACATTTAGTTCCTGTTGAGTTAAGTTGATTCATTTGCCATTCATAAGTTGTTTCATTTGCCGGGATATTACCTTTAAAGCAAATAGCTACACCACCTCCTCCACTTCCTAGTTCTTCAAACGTAACTTCAAACGTAACGTAACTTCAACGTAACGTAAACTTAACGTAAAAGTAACGTAAACTTCAACGTTACGTTAAACTAACGTAAAAGTAACGTAAACTTCAACGTAACGTAAACTTCAACGTAACCTAAATGTAAACGTAACGTAAACGTAAACGTAACTTCAAACGTCTTTGACGTTCAAACGTAAGACTCTTGACTTCCTTGCTATAGCAAGGAAGTCAAGAGTCTTAAGTTTGATAAAACCAGGTCTCAGTGAAGAAAAAGTGTATGTGGTTTTTTTTTTTTGCTCATTTATTTTTGCAATTAGTTTCTCTTGTTTGCTTTGTTTAGCGAAGGAGAATCATATTCTCAAAAGTTAAGTTCTTTATGTAGATTATTATTTAATTTTTTAATTTAGTAATATATATATATATATATATATATATATATATATATATATATATATATATATATATATATATATATATATATATATATATATATATATATATATATATATATATATATATATATATATATATATTATGGGCGGTCATAACCCAAATCAAATAACAACATGAAAAAGAGATCAAGTATACCAAATTAATGAGGTAACCACTAAACAAGCAACAGCAGCGAATCATTCTTATCCAGCTATAGCTATATGATTTTTAATTCTATGAAATCACAAAACTTTAGACATGTACAATTTATATATCTCAAAAAAATTGCTTTTATTCTTGACCTCCGGCTAAATGCCGGTGGATGTTAAACCATATACCCACATAACAACATAGAAGCCACATACCCGGGCAATCTAAGACAAGTTCAGGTCACTAAAGAGCATCATCACCCGCATCGCTAACCAAGAGTAGGTGAGTTTAGGAAGAACGATGAATTTTAAAGCGAAAGTCAAAGGAAGTTGACTAATATTTTAACAATAAATTTATCAAGATGGCATGAAGAAAGAGGACATTTTAGTGATAATTGCACTAGATATTAGAATGTGCAACTTCTGAGTGAGTTAACACCGCGCCAGAGTTTCTTTGAATGTTAGATTGGTTTTGTAATTTATCCTCTTCCGACAAGTTGCTATACAGAGACCTCATTACCAAGGTCCGCAAAGACGAGATCAGCTCACTAAAGAGCATCGTAACCCGCTTCGCAGACCAAGAGTAAGTGAGTTTAAGAAGAATGAAGGAATTAGGGTGAAAGTCAAATGAAAATCTTGTTCCAGTTAACATGGCCCGCAAATAAATTGTATTCGTCTTATAACAAGAATATGCAATTTGCTTTCTAAAAAAAAAATAATAATAAAAACACAATGAGTTACACCATATAAAACAAATAAACAGTTTAAATCAACCTAAAGTACATAAAAAAGAAAATTTATTTAAATTTTATTTTTAATTCCATTAATCAATATTTGAATAATTGCTCAGTTTGTGAAAAATGAGATTACATTTTAGATGAAAATCATGCGAAAGAACAGTTTTTTGTGCGCGATGCAGAAAATGCTTTCATTCGGACTGCGACAATGGCATAAAACAAAATGAATATTATTAATGCTCAAATTGGTGAAACAAAAGTAGGCAAAAAAACGTTTTTCATTGGGAATTTCTAATAGCGTCCAAAAGTTTGCCTTTTGTAGTCATAAATAGTTAAGTAGTCAAATAGTCATAAAATTTCATGGCTCTTCTACAACGTTTTGAGGTGCAGCAAAATATTTTGAGGTGCAGCAAAATATTTTGAGGTGCAGAAAAATATTTTGAGGTGCAACAAAATATTTTGAGGTGCAACAAAATATTTTGAGGTGCAGCAAAGGCCTGAAAAATTGAATAAAAATTAAAAATTTGGTTGTTAATACTTTTTTGATGTTTTGTACAAATACGCACCTCCTGAGAAATAATGTAATCAGTTATAATAAATGTTTAATATATTTAAAAAGCAAACTTTTCTCACCAAAACCTGTTTTTAGAACATATTTTTGTATTTTTCGCATTTTTTACCAATATATTTACTTTGTTAGCACATTTTACAAGATTTAAATAAAATAAAATAAAGCATGGTAATTAATAAATGTTTTCTTATCTCGTACATGTAAACTAAAAATTCTTTCTAATGAGATTAATAAGTTTAAAAAACACTTAAAATACTTTCAAGATTAAAAAGTTCCAAACATTCGAAAATGTTTATTTTTCACTGCGTAGGCACATTGAAATGTTTTTTTGTCACAAATTTTGGCATATTCTTCTGAGATTTTTTAAAAAAAAGATGAGAATTTTTAATTTAATAAAAGTTTCTTTTGAAAATGATCCACAGAAAGACAAAGCGGTAACTAGTTTTACCGCTCTTTCTACTGCTTGGGTGTGACATGGAGATCGAGGAATGAGTTCAATGTTAAACGATGGGATCATATTAATGTAATCATTAGAGTCAAAACTTTTGGATAAATTTTCTAGTACAACCTCTACTCTCTATTCTTGCTTTTAGAAGTCTACGAAAACCAAACTCTCTTATATGTTTGCGGTCATCACATGGTATAGATAAAATAATTTTTTCCGGAGCAGCAAATTATATGTTTCTTTGAATAACTGAATCTAATAATTTTTTTAGATCAGTAGTTAGATCTCGTAAATAAACATATAGAGATGTATAGAACCATTCTAACATGTAGGTTTCAACTTAATGTTAAACCAGCATACATTTTTGCAAAAAGCCAGAATTACAAGATTGTTAGTAAAATTTTCAGTTGCCAAATAAAATCAAAGTACTTAATTTGCTAATGCAAACCATCTAGAATTAGTTTTCCAAGAGTTTTCAATGATAAATTTAAACAGCAGTTCCCACTAGATACAGCAATACAACTTTCCATTAAATACTTCTGATTTGTACTTAAATGACTTATTTTTTCTAATAAAGCGCAAGGGTATTTTCAATTGGTAAAAAGGAAACTACAGGTAACTTATAACTGTTTTGCAGTTCCTTAGCTAATTCCCTCTTAAACTCATTGGGACCCATAGTTATATTATCTAAAGAATTGAAAAGATGGCGTAAAAGCAGTTTTTTACTATCAAATAAGCAAGCTAACCGTGCTGTGATTGCCCTATTTTATTTTCTAACAACAAAATCACACCATTTTTGACTCCAGTATTTACAACGGTTCCATCACATCCAAAAGCGACAAGTTGTTCGTCATGTTTGTGTTCATGTAAAACCTCCATAACCATTTTTCTAGACAGTTGTTGATCATTTAAAAACTCCTGCTCTAAAAAAGGGGCTTCCTTTTTTTTGTACAACTAAATTGTTGAAAGTCAAAACATTTACAGGCAGCAATACCAAATATGCTTTTAGCATGTTCTTTAAATGCAACAAGGTTGGGGATATATTTTTCTAATCTTTTTCTGCTCATAGATCTTAACAAATTTCTATACTTTTCATAATACGTTTTTATCATTTATAATATTCGAGTATTAGAAACTACAGGAATAGAAGCTTTTAACAATAAATTTTCATTTATTGTTAAAAGCTTCTGAGCTGAAATATCAGATACTTCACTTACAGTTAGCTCCTTTGATGATGCATCTGATTTGAGGTTATGTCTTATAAGAAAATAGCATTTTGTTACACAACTGTTATAACAACGCTACATAAACTCAAACAATTCAATATCACTTAAATTGAAGCTGAATTTGTTATGCTATGATGGATTTGACTAAACTGGATGTTAGAATGTGCAAGTCATGTTATTAATTAGATTACCTAATTAATGAAATAGAATACATCAATGCTGATCACGTTTGTTTATACTTTTTCTTTTCTTGTCTACAATTTTTCTTGGCATTTGGGTATTGTAGTTTATCATCCTCTGACTAATTGTCATACAGAAATCACATACCCGGACCAGCAAAAACAAGTTCTTCTCACTAAAGAGCATTACCACCCGCTTTGCTGTAAAAGAGTAAATGAGTTCAAGAAGAACGAAATACGTTAGAGTAAAAGTCAAAAGAAGTCGAGTTAGAAAGCTTAGAGAAAGCGATCGAGTCAGAAAGCGATCAGATATCGCACTGGATGTTAGAATGTGCAAATTGTACTATTAATTAGATTAATTAACTCATGTATTAGTATAAACGCTATATCATTTTCTTTCTGTTCATCCTCTTCATCATCGTTTTCATTAACTTCAGCATTGTTTTCTTCAGTTTTACTTTCGTTACTTTCATTCTCTTCGTTATTTTTCTCTTTGTTATTTTTATCATATTCCTCTTCACTTTCATCCTTTTCATCATCATCTTCTTTACCTTTACTTTCATTATCTTTACTATCATCTTCATTATATTCTTTTTTTGATCCTCTTCATTATCACTTATGTTATCTTTATGAGGATTTTCTTGTTCTGCTTTAAGTGGTGATGTTTCTTTTAAGTGGTATTGTTTCTTTTGTTATTTTTATTTGCAGCTTTTTGTTTAGTTCTACAGCTTCATTTTCTAAATAAAATTCTTTTGTAGTAACTTGGTTTAGAACTTTTGTTACTTATTAGAAGTTATCTAAAGTTAAAACTCTACGTGGTTTGACTGTATTATTGTTTTCTATCATTCTGCTTATTATTTTTTTTTTTTAGATTGTTTTTCTCAACCGCCTAGTGTAGTTGGCTCTAAAATCATATCCTTTCAAGTTAATTAGTCTAGGAATTGATTTTACTATGCTATTCATAATTGCTACTATAATACCTAATAAAGCATTTTATTTTTAGGTGTTGTTTTAAAAATAGTTCTAGTCGTTACATGCTTCCCTTAACCAAGTTCCTCCAAAACATTTCCGGCAAGAAATCTACTTTATTTATTGGTAAACCAAGAATAGAGGTTGTCACTTTTTTACTGATGTTTCTTTTTGGGTTGAATTGTAGAAACGGTACCTTATTTCCTTAATAATTATTCCTTTTTCAAGGAGCGTTAGTTTAGCTTTGTCAGTGTTTATGACAATTAATCTCAATAATTAAGCCGTTACGAATTTGTTAAAAACCGTATAAATGCTTATCAAATCAGGCATCTTTAATAGCTGATAAGATGTAAATATCACTAAATTTGGCATTAAGTTTATTAAAAAAGGTATTTTTAAGCCTACTATATTCGTTTGCAATGTTGACATTTGTTGCATCATGTGAATACTTTTTACTTGTAGCTTTTGCATAGCTTTTTGTTGGTGCTATAACAGCCAATTTTGCAGTATCCATCTCCGTAATTTTTTTTGGGTCTATTATTGACATGGTATAGTACTGACCTCTTAGCTACTTTAGAATACACGCGGTCACTCTAAGTCCAATAGACCTCTAAAAGAGGTCTAATCAACCTCTTCATACTCACAGTCACTATATTTAAATCGTCTATGGCCTCTTTAGCTTCTCAGCCATTCAATACTCACTAAAAGCCAGTAGATTTTTATAACACTCACCTTAGCAACCCGAAGACGGGTCAAGGTAAAAATTACAAAATCGCTCAGAAGGCTAGTAGACCTTCTTTCATACACGTTAGGATCACTAGCTTACCTAATTAAACTAAGAATCAAGAACAGATACTACACTTGATCTTAGCTATTCATGATCATAACCAAATAGAGACTCCTGCAGCTGAAACCAGACTTACACAAGGCCCTAGATGGCGGTGTTAATAGGGAGCCGAGACAACGAAAAAACGACTACGTCAAGAACTTCTATTGACTGTCACGGTTTCGATCTTATGTTGTTTCTGCTTTCTAACAACATCGTAACCAAGTGAAAGGTTGTTCGGAGCCAAAATAAGAACAGATACTGCACTTGATCTTAGCCATTAGGCTGAAAAGCAATTATACTAATTATACTAATTTTTTTGGCTTTTGGTTATTGTGGTTTATTCTCCTCCGGCTAATTGCCATTAAGAGATCACATACCCGGGCCCGCAACGACAAGTTCAGCTCACTAAAGAGAATTATCACCCGATTCTCTGGCTAAGAGTAAGCGAGCCAAGAGTAAGAAAGTTAGAGCAAAAGTCAGAAGAAATCGAGTGAGAAAGATTGCATAGAGAAAGCGGAAAGATTGCACTAGATATTAGAATGTGCAACTCATACTATTAATTAGATTACCTAACTTACCTAAAAAAGCATAAACGCGGTCATCATTGCTGATGACGTTTGTTTTTTTATTATGTTATCTTTCTTGGCTTTTGGGAAGGAGGGTGGATATTGTGGTTTATTTTTCTCCGGTTAACTGCCATACATGGGTTACATACCCAGGTCTGCAAATACGATTTTAGCTCTATAAGGAGCATCATAACTTGCTTTGCAGACCAAGAGTAAGTGAGTTTAAGAAGAACGAAGAATATTAGAGTAAAAGTTAAAAGAAGTTGAGTTAGAAAGATATCATAGAGAGAGCGCACAGATGTTGGATTGATGTAAGAATGTGCAATTAATACTACTAATTAGCTAATTAATTTACTACTGAGGAAGAAATTTGCGAGTGAATTAACACCGTGCCAGAGGTTTCTTTGTCACTTTATTTTTGAATTTTTAGCTATTTTTGTTTAGCTCTAATTCTAAAACATTTTTTCCTATATTGTTTTACGTATATAGCTCACGCGCGCGCGTGTCCCCACTACGTATTTTAAAAGAATTAATTTTCATAATTAAGAATTACATGTTGGAGGTTTTCTTGGATTTTGTGTGTGGCAGGACTGAACTAGAAACGAAATTTGTTTATAAATGTTAATTAATATTTTAATTCATATTTATATGAATTAAAATTAATATAAACCCGCAACTATAATTGCGGGTTTACATTAAATTTATTGATAAAAAATGACAAAACTTTCCGCGGATTAGTATCACCCATTTGAACGTAAAACAAACAAAAAAGTCGAATTAAAATGACTCTTACATTATTTGAGAATATTTTGTATTAGTAAAATTAATGATTGGATATTGGACAAAAAAGAAGCAATTTAAATGGCATAATTTTAAAAATGAAGAAATATAAGAATGCTTTTAATATTAATAGTTACAAAATACTTGTTTAAAATAATGTTTAAGTAAATAGTTATTTTCACTTATATAAGTTTATTTGACTTCTACAGTTTCACTTTCAGTTTTTATTTCATTCACAAATTTAAAATTACGCAATTTATTTTATTAAAGTGCATTTTCTAGTCATTATTGTTTGTTCTCAAAATATCAATATAAAGTAAAACAAAGATATTTAAAAAATTTTAAAAATAATTTTAAAAAAATGTCGTCTAAAACGTTGCATTTAATTTTGCTTATTGGTTTAAAATGGTGTTTTGTTTTTGCTTTTTCAAATAATAATAATAAATCTTCAGGTAAATGTTCGTATTTTTTTATTTTATTTGTTAAATAATAAACTAGTGCATATTAATAACATCGGATGAAATAAAAAGCAGCTCACCTAGTGCGAAAGGCGGTTCGACTTTCTACTTTAAAATGGATTCTCTATTCAACTTTGATAAGAAATTCACAACTCAAGTCTAAAAACAAGTTACAAAACCAACTCAATTAGTTTTTGATCCGTATACATAACATCTTTGACATATAATTACAATATATCCTAAAGATAAACCTCTCATTTTTAAAAAGCTTTTAACAGTTTTTTATTAAGTACATGAAAAAAACACGAGCTCAAAACATTTCACAGTTAAAAATTAAAGATTTATTTAATTTATAAAATCAAAATAGATACTTATGATACCTGATTTATATGATGAAAAAAACTATGCGCAAAATAATTTAAAATACATGTAAAAACACCGTAACTCATATTTCAAGAACCCGCGGCCCGCAGACCTACGTTTTGTAATAAAGGCTGAAATTTTCTTAACAAATGTTTTTAATACAAGTAGGAACAATGGTTAACCAGAGCATGTTTTTAATACAAGTAGGAACAATGGTTAAGCTCTAAAAATGTGCAATTTGCAATAAAAAAAAAATTCATGAGATTCAGTGACTTGAAACCTGTCTTTTTGCGTGGAGTTCCAAAGTTCCTGAGTTCGGGTGTAAAAACTGATTGCTCCTCAAACCTAAACTTTTTAATTTTTACCAAAATTAGTTCATAGCTTTTTTACATTTTTGGTGCACCTGTATACAAAAAACCTGAAAAAAATATTTTTTTTCTAACTTTCATATTATATGCTTTGTTATATATTTTTTTTCTAACTTTCATATTATATGCTTTCTAACTTTCATATTATATGCTTTATATATGCTTTGTTTTGCATTATTTAATTCAGTTGTGTTTAAAATGCAGTCAAAACAAGATGTACTTTGCAAGCACATTGTACAGTTCTATTACCGAGCCCCAATAGTAACGCAAATAAATATCCGTAATATATAAGTAACAGCATTTTAAAAAAAGACAATTTTAGAATGTTAGGAAATAAAAAAAAAGTAATAAAATAAATTAAAAACCAAAAAAAAGAAATGATTAAAATATAGTAATAAAAATGACAAAATTTTATGTTTTTGGTTATAAACTGAACGTAATTCGATAAGTATATTGTATATATTTTTATTAAAACAATTCGAAATTAAAATGTTTCAACCCAGGAAAAAAAGTTCTATAGAACTTCTATAAACTTTTGAAACATATGGCCTATAGAAATTATATAAAATTCTATAAAACTTTTATAGAATCTCTGTTAATTTCTATAGAAATTTCTATAGAATATTTATTTTCTATTTTTTAAAGATCTTATATCTAAAAATGGTTTTACTTTATACATCATTGCAATATTTATTTAAAGTTTTCTTTCAAGAGTGCTTATATGTTTCCTCCATGATAGATTTTCATCTAAAATAACCCCTAAGAAGTTTACAGTTGTTTGTCTAGTAATTTTTAAGATTAGATAATTTTAAAGGAAGGTTTTCTGTTTTGGTTGGTTTGTGAAATAGAATGTACTTAGATTTGTTAACGTTAAGTGTAAGTTTATTACAAATAAACCATTTGTTTACTTTGTTTACTTCTTCATTAACTACTTTTAAAAGGGTTTTAATATCCCTATGAAAATAAAACAGATTGGAGTCTTGCGCAAACAAAATAAAGTTTAGTAAGTTCGAGATCGTTTATTTAAAGAGAAAACAGTAACGGTCCTAAGATTGAGCACTGAGGAACTCAACATTTTATTATACTTAACAATTCCATATTGAATGTATTTCTGTCTGTTTGATAAACATTTTTTAAATCATAGTAAATCATTTTTTTATTCCATAATGATCAAGTATTTTTAAAGGAATGACATGGTTGACTGTGCCAAAGATTTTATACAGATCAATAAAGACTCCTAATCTAAAACGGTCATTATTGAAGGCATTGGTTACATGAGTTACTAACTCCGTCAAAGCGTGATCAGTTAAATGATTTTTTTTCAAAATATACATTGGATCAACCTAACGTTGATTCAATGTATGTATCACTTTGGACCTCATAAAGGGGCCCAAGTAGGCAACTTTATGGGGCCCAAATGGGTTGCCCACACCCTGCCCAAAAAAAACTGTCGCTGGGCGTGAATTAGGGCCCAAGTGGGCTGCTCATGTGAGACACACACGAGTCCCACTTTTTTATTTGAATTTTTTCATATAATTTGAATAATTATTTATTTAGTTTTAAATTAAATATACAGTATCGGACAAAACAAGTGCAACCAAATAATGCTAATTTAGTTTCTTCATATAAGTGCTGCATTTTTTCAATTTAGAGAAATAATTATGTAACTATTTAGAGACAACGTTCTTCAGGTTTTATTCATCACAAAGTTCATTATTTGTACACGAAAATAATTAAATTAATCAAAAAGTATTAAAAAAAGTTGATTTCCGTCTTGACAAAACAAGTGCAACTCCACAAAATGTGGACCAAGCTGTATTTCGCTACCAATATTTTGTGGAGAATTTTTTGTTGTCGATCAAATCCTTGCATCTTCGAGGCATAGATTTGATTAGGTGATCAATGAAACTCTGTGGAATCGCTCCCCAAGCCTTTTGGATTTGTTCAAACAGTTGATCCTTATTACGAACACCTTCACGATTAAATCTGCAGTTGACGATCTCCCACAGGTTCTTGATAGGGTTGAGATCCAGAGATTGATGCGGCCAATCCATCACCGATAGGTGGTTGTTTTGAAACCACTGCTTGACTACTTTTGCAGTGTTTTTCGCATCTTAGTTTTGTTGAAAAACCGATTTTTTTGGCTTATTCCATTCAGCATGAGGTAACGTAACTTCTTTCAGGATATTTTTATACATGAAACGGTCCATTATTCTATCAATTCGATGTATTGGACATAGACCGTTAGCAAAAAAGCACCCCCAGACCATTACATTGCCTCCACTATGCTTAACATTCTTATGGCAGTAACGTAAATCGAGGCGTTTTCCGGCCGGTCGACGTACACGGCAAATGCCATTGCTCCCAATGATGTAGAACTACGATTCATCACTGAACAGGACAGTTCGCCATTTCTGCACATTCCAGTCAAAATGAGATGTAGCAAACAGGACTCTTTTCTTTCGGTTCTTTAGTGAAATCAGCAGTTTCTTTGCAGGGCGTCGAGAAAACAATCCGGCTTCAACAGCACGTTGTCTGATTGTTCAGTCCGATACAGGCAGCTTTAATTGCTTTTGTATCTCGACTGATGATATCCAGGGATTCTTTATGACAGATCTGATGATCATAGAATCCTCTCTAGAAGTGGTGGAACGCGGTCTTTCACCTTTGTTATCTGCTGCCAACTTTCCTGTAGAACGATATTTGGAACATAGTCTTGATACGGTCTATTTTTTCACGCGATATTTATCACAAATACTTTTTTTATGACATTCTACTTACGTAATCGCCAATAACTTTCTTTCTTATTTCCGATCCAAGACTGTCGGAAGCCATTTTTGCACTTGAAGTCATGAAATTAATAAAAATAAATAATCACGCTTCTAAAGGTTTACTGTGTTACATTTACCTTGTGATAATACAATAATGCTCTGTGGAACACAACGTCTTGGTTGGATGTGGACTGTATTGGTATAATGAAGTACTTGTTGTATTTCACTTCTTGTATGTTCTTCGATAAAACATTTTGATAAAACTCACTTCGATAAACTGTCTTGATAATACTGACTGATTGACTTCCATATACTGACTGAATTACATGTCGGTTTACATGTCTCTTATATAGTAAAATGAACATGTGTGAACCTGTTCTGAAAGATTCTAGATGCTTCTTTCCGATGCTTCTAGAAGCTTCTTGATGCTTCTGAATATTTCTCGATACTTCTGGATACTTTTGGATGCTTCCAGATGCGTCTTCTGGAAACTTCTGGAGGCTTTTGCATGCTTCTGGAAACTTCTGGATCTTCTGGATACTTATTTAATAATTAAAAAACCTCCGTCGCGTTGAAACGGACCAGACTTAAGAAAATGAAACAAACCAAAAAAGTTGCACTTGTTTTGTCCGCTGCAAAATGGGACTTGTCAACGAAATTCTGCCTGTGTGCTGTCACCTGATTGTTCATGTCATGGCATGCTATGACTCCAGACTCCTGAACTGTTTGCTGTGGTAGTTTAGTTCGTTTTTTTTTAAGACATGTAAAATTAGGAACACTTTTTAGCATGGTTCGATGTTTGTTGCAAATGTTTTGTCCAATACTATATATAATTTTATGTATAGTCATTATTAAATGACTTAAGTCTAGCTTTATAGAAGTAAAACAGGAAATCAATTATACAAAGGAAAAGAATAATAGCAATCAACATTAATCAATACAAACATTATTTGAATAGTACAATAGTTTACTAATGTACTAAAAGTAAAAGTTAAATATATGATATATGAGTGAATTGATATTGTGGTATTGATATTATATGAGTGAATTGATATTGTGGTTTATCTTCCTCCGGCTAATTGCCATATAGAGGCCACATTACCAAGGTACGGCAAAGACAGATTCGGGTCCCCAAGGAGCGTCATAACCCGCTCTATGGACCAAGAGTAAAGTGAGTTTAGGAAGAACGAAGATATGTTAGAGTGAAAGGCATAAGTAGTCGTGTTAGAAAGACAGCATAGAGAAAGCGGACAGGATTCTTGACAAATGAGTGAATTTAAACCTTACGACTAACGAAGTCTCATCGTAATGAATTCTCTTCAGGACCTGTCATTTTATATACATTTTTTGCTTGTGGGTTTTTAAAAACTTAAATAGTGTATATAGTTTCAAAAACTTTTTTATGCATAAAAAAAAAAAAATTTTCCGCCTTTATAAACTGACTTTGTAAATTTTTTTGTTTAAGTTCTCTTTAATGTTTAAATAAATAACCTTCAAATACAATTTAAAACTCTTTTACTGCTTTTTTTTATAAACATGCGACCAAGTTGAGTTAAGCGATAAATTTTTTAAATGTTTATCCACCATTTGTTATGCCTTTCTATTGCGCGATCGGATAGCATTTAAACTTAGAAAACAAGATGTAATTTAACTACATACATGGGCCTTAAATAGGCCCCATTGTATGTAGTTAAATGTGGGCTAGCCATTGAATACAAAATACTTTGTATTCAAGGACAAGCCCACAATGGGCCCATTTTGGGCCCATATAATGCCCACATAGGGCCCACTTAGGCAAACCCATATGAGACCCATATAGGACATGTTCGCTGGGATCTCGACATTGATTCAATGTATATAAATCAACGTTTTTCCAATGCATGTAAAAACATCGCAAAAAGTTGATTGTTTTTACGATCTAAACCCAACGTTGACGCAATGTATATATTTCGACTTTGATTCAATATATATAAATCAACG